TCATACTGTATTTATTATATTTATTAATATTTTGAATTCGTTTTTATTTTTTAGTTTTCATTAGTTTTAGTATTTCTTTATGCACTCGTATCAGTTTTAGTCACTAGCACTTATTTTAGTTATTTGCCATTGCAAAAAAAATATTTTTTTCTTTATTTCAGCCTAATTTCAATTTCAGTTTTACTTTTAGTTATAGTCAACATTAACAACACTGGTTAGGGACTAATTCAAATCAATTATAAGTATTAATAATCAATAAGTATTAACACTATTAAACCAACAACCAAAACCAAAATATGGTTTAATATTGTATAAATAAAAACTAGCTATCCACTGACTAATCAGACATGGATTTATTTTTCCTATTATGAACGTTGCCACAGAAACAAATCATTTTAGAGTCCAAGGACTTCAGTTTCATAATTCAATATGACATGAATGCAGCATAAATTCAACATGCTTTAGGAAAACCTCCTGTTTTAAGTTCAAAGTATCATTCAACATCTTCCTTTCCCTCAGTTTGTGATGCCATTTTACAGCAAATATGGCATCCATGACTACTAACCCTGCAACAACGATGGCTACTTTCAATAAAACAGATGAATATGACTGCTGTGACAGCTGAATGCTTTGTGAAGCGGTAATGTGCATTAAATCATTCAGACAGGTGCATGATAGAGTGTCAGGTGCAGATAAAGAAGAGAGCCCTACGTGTTCATGTCTATGATTGTTTTGGCTCGTGTGGAGGCGACAGGTTTATATATCTGAAGTAGGACGTGACTTGTTGTGGTAATTCTGCCAGTACACATTGGGCAAGCATTTCCCTGGGCGCCTGAAATGAAATGGACACAAAGGCACAGGTGAGATGCTACAAGCCATAACATGTGGTAGATATATGGGACCAAAACATTATAAATATAAGTTTGTGTTGTGTTCGGCTCTGCTCAGTGTCTACTGGCATAAACAATTATGAAAAGGGTTGGGAACTTGTCCGATTAAAAAAATACAAAAATAACAGAACCGAGAGTTTTCGCATGTTCATTAAGGCTCATTCACACCGAGAGCGATAACTATGTTAGAGTCCACATAAACGTACGCCCTTTACTCACAGATGCGTACTGAACACAGTTAACACCGCTACCGAATCTATAGCGCGAATCATACAGAACAGGTGGACTCCGATTCCAGAACAAATGACTCTTATGAGCTGGTCACTTTTAGTGAATCAAAAACATACAGCGTGACCAGAGTAATCCAAATGACTCCTGAACAAATGACTCTTATCTGCTGGTTATTTTTAAATGAATCAAAAACTTACAGCATGACCAGCATAATCCAAATGATTCTTGAACAAATTACTCTTATGAGTTGGTTATTTTTAAGTGATTTAAAAAACATAAAGTGTGACCAGTGTAATCCAAATAAATGACTCCCATGAGCAGGTTCTTAGTGAATCAATCACTTTTTATCCGTGTGACGGAAACTAATGGATACTGATTGCTTTTTCACATCTTTTAGTTAAAAGATACAGTAGTATTTAAAAAAATATAATACAATTATGAAATTTGTTACCTCATTTTTTGTTTGATTGTGTTATGTAATACACAATTATATCTATGCTACCCTTAAAAAAACGAAATTTCATTCATTCAGACCGTGATACTTTTTGCAAGAATGGTTGCTATGGGGTGGAACATTTCCAAAAGTTATATATATATATATATATATATATATATATACAGTGGGGCAAAAAAGTATTTAGTCAGCCACCAATTGTGCAAGTTCTCCCACTTAAAAAGACAGGTGGACTCCGATTCCAGAACAAATGACTCTTATGAGCTGGTCACTTTTAGTGAATCAAAAACATACAGCGTGACCAGAGTAATCCAAATGACTCCTGAACAAATGACTCTTATCTGCTGGTTATTTTTAAATGAATCAAAAACTTACAGCGTGACCAGCATAATCCAAATGATTCTTGAACAAATTACTCTTATGAGTTGGTTATTTTTAAGTGATTTAAAAAACATAAAGTGTGACCAGTGTAATCCAAATAAATGACTCCCATGAGCAGGTTCTTAGTGAATCAATCACTTTTCATCCGTGTGACGGAAACTAATGGATACTGATTGCTTTTTCACATCTTTTAGTTAAAAGATACAGTAGTATTTAAAAAAATATAATACAATTATGAAATTTGTTACCTCATTTTTTGTTTGATTGTGTTATGTAATAACTAAATCGATAACTGCAATCCCCATCCCTAATTTTTTTACCTCTACCTTTTTTCTTTTTTTATGCAAATAAAATGTTTAAAATAAACATATAGGCCTCATATATGTTTATATCAATGAAAATAAACACATAAACAAACATGAATGATACTCCATGATACACCAATTTTCTTCAAAATGGCTGTAAAAATACTACAGTATGCAGCAAAGCAAAATAATAGAATCCAAAATGGCTATTAATTGATAGTCTGATGAATAAATATATTGCTAGTGTCCTTGTACCTGTCATAGTCCTGGACCACGAGGCCAACTGACCAGATGGCTGAGAGATATTCATTCACACCTTGAGGACTGATGTAATGTAAAGAATCAGGTGACCTGGGGTCACCATTTGACCCTGTGAAGTCTATGCCCACCTGGAAGAAAGATGTGAAGCACATGGATATGACACGAGTAACCATGCTTCAACATGAAGTAATATAATTCATAGACATAATATATGCAGTATAATTCTATGTGAGTATGTCTGTCTTTTTATATATCATAACTAAAATAAAAGATAAATATTTCATTTACACTAAAATCAAAAAAAAAATTGTAGTATTATTGTTTTTAGAAATCATATAATATATATTATAAAATATTGTTCCAACATAAATTAATTCTGAGACATAATATATACAAATATAATCCTAAATAATAATAATAATATAAAAATAATTTATATTAAAACATAAATATGTATTTATTATTGGCTATAATTATTGTTTTTATAATAATACACTGATATAGCTTTTGAAATATATATTATAAAATATTACTACTATTTATCTATACTAAATTAAACAAATAAATAAAAAGATAATAAATAAAACAATTATTACTTATATTGTAAATTGTATATTGTATTTATTTAGTATGATTTATTTTTATAAAAAGAGTATTTTTTTATTTATATTATAACATTTAGAATAAAAAATTTAGAATTTTTTTTATATTTAATTTAAAATATTGCTCCAACATGAAGGAATTTATTTATTTTATAGATACATAATACATGCAATATTATTATAATAACCAAACAAATAGAGACATGAAGTCTAGAGAAGAATATTTTGAGAAATGTTACGACTATATACTTAATTATATTTGACTTGTTACCTGTTAGTGATGTCTTAATTATTTAATGTGTTTAAATAAACCTTTTATGAAACAAAATTATGACCGTCACTGTAAATGATTATATTTCAACAACAAATAGTAATTGTATCATTTAGAAGTTACTTAAAAAACGGCATTACATGCAATTTACATGTTTGCAAAGGCTACAAATTTTGAATTTGAATGTTGGTTATTATAGTTAAAAATAAACAGTAATTGAATATAAGTTTGGTCTCTGTTGTTAATTGTAACATTATAGTAGGCTAATGTAAAAGGGCTCCCTATATTTTTGTGAAAAAAAAAAGTTAATGACTTACAGTGAAATTTATCTCGCAGCCTCCCATGATGTAGTCCAAAAAGGTGTATTCCCTGGTAATCTGAGACAGCAAACACAATCATGTCTAGAAATATTTGCATTGGGTTTAATATTGAATGTTGAGAATAAAACCAGACGAGTGTGTTTATGTGACACAGTACCTGACAAACCTTCACACTCACGACTCCAGAGTTCTTATAATTTTTCTTCTTCTGTTTCTTTTTGCTGTTTATGCACTCAAACTCTGCCTGCAGGACAAAAATCAGCTTCCTTAGTTCAGAAACATTCAGACATTCATCAGGTAATGAAATCAAAATTGCGTTGAGGATCATCTCACTGGAGCGCTGCGGGATGCCTCTTGCAGACGCATCATATTGGTCTCAAAAATCCCTATCAAATCATGAGATCCATCGTTGTCATAATCGTAACATTCAATCTAAAGAGGGTTGAAAATACAGCATGAAGTGATCTGAAGTGAATGAGATTAGAGGGTAAAAGACTAACCCTAACCCTAACCCTAAGATTTAGAGAGGTCATGCAAAAAGTCCATCAAATGAAGAACCATAGCACAGGTCTATTGGTCTCTTCATTCAAAAATTAGTAAGACACCACCAGAACAGCACACCAAACAGGATATCTCTGAATGAATAGATGAAAGATGTTGGATGCCCTGCCACTTTCCACTGCCCACATTTCATAAGGTTAGATATAATTGGAAGCCCGTTTCCCCCACTGAATAAAAAAATGAAAAAAGTTAATTGCGACTTTTTATCTCAAAATTCTGACTTTTTTTCTCATAATTGCGTGATACAAACTCACAATTGACTTTTTTTTTCTCCGAATTGCGTGATATAAACTCGTAATTGCGTGTTATAAAGTCAGAATTGCGAGATATAAACTCGTCAGAATTGCGTGATATAAACTCGTAATTGCGTGTTATAAAGTCAGAATTGCGAGATATAAACTCGTCAGAATTGCGAGATATAAACTTGCAATTGCGTGTTATAAAGTCAGAATTCTGAAAACATATCAGCCCCCCCCCCAAAATTAAACTTTAACTCGCAATTGTAATGCAGAAGAAAATAAAAATATCTCAAATTTTTCAAATAAAATAAAACATTTAAAAAATTACAATTTATTATATAAAACTTAAATTTTTCATTTGTACTCCATGACTTCCTACTGAAATACAGTAGCTAATAGTATTCTGTAAAGTTATATTATTTGATTTACAGCAACTCTAGTTAATATGTAATGCAAAAGAAATAAAAATATTTTTCATGTAAAATAAAACATTTAAATAATTACCATAAATCATGTACAATTTAAATTTTCATTTGTACTCCATTACATAGTATTCATTAACAGTATTCTGAACTTAGGTATTTATTTGATTTACAGTAACTGTTTAATATGTAATACAAAATAAATACAAATATATATAATTTTATAAGTAAAAAACATGTATTTAATTGCAATGAATTATATTCAATTTAAAAATTACAATTATTAATTTAATAACATAATTTATATATGTTATATAATGTTTATGCTATACATTTACATCATGTTTTTACTGCTTATATAAGCTACATGTTTTTCCCCACAATGCTTTATCCAAAATAATGGGGTTTAACAGAAAGTCCCCCCAGTTTGTGTTCAACAACATTATTTGACCTTTAGCCTTATTAATTCACCTTTCATTCATTACTTTTATAACAATTTTTGTAACTATTTAGTTATGGTTTCTTTAAAGTTCAGATTTAACCTTTCAAATTGTAAGGTTTTAAAATGCACAGATACAAATGCCACTGTTTCCTGAGAATGACCCTACTAGCCAAAGACTTCAACACATGAAAAGGGTTGAAAATGACCTAATTCAGGAAACAACAGTTGGACAGAATAGCACTATACTGATCTATGAAGGACAAACCAGCAGCTATTCAGTGACACACACATTTACAAACGAAACAGCCGTTCTGATGAAAAATACCTGCTCTTTCCCCGACAGTCAGTCTCCCTTTAAGATGCTTTTGCAAGAAAAATCACAAAAGTCATGAACACTGATTGTAAGCCACCAAACACCCTCTGACTGACAAACCAAAGCAAAGCCAGAGTTTTACAGCATCTCCACAGTCAAGTCAGAACAATTACAGATTGTTAATCCATGAGGCCAGCCTTTTATATGACACTTGTGTTAGCAACAGAGAGCTTTTTAATGTTATAAAATAACTTTTATATCAGCCAGTGAACACAGACTCTACCTTGATTGGTTTCTGCATGTCTCCTGCACAGAGAGACCGTAGAGGGATTTTAAAAGGCTTCCAGCAAGGATTCAAGTTATTCTTCACCACCTGGTATGAAAGATAACCATTAACATTCACAATAAACATTAACAACAACCATTCAGAGAGTTAATACTCCACATCTAAACAAACACACAACACACAACACACAACACACAATGCACCTCAGTTCTCAGAGCAAGCTGCCAGCCTGTTTCCGTCTGCCTGTAAAATTCCAGGTAGGGGTCTGATTTTCCAAAGAAATCCTGCAAGGAAACCCAAATTTAGACACTGAATGCATTTTACAGTTTAAAAGTAAAGCAAAGTCACAAACTCACATCTCATGTCTTACCTTTTTGTCCAGTTTTCTGGCCTCCATCTCAAAATTCACTACTCTGTTGTCCTTGATTTCCTCTGCACTGATCTGAAGTGAATATAAATATTTTTTGAATACTTTAGAACTGTTTTATTGAGTAAGGACGTATTAAATTGATGAAAAGTGACAGTAGGGGTTTTTAAATATTTCTATTTCAAATACAAACCTGATTCCAAAAAACGTTGGGACACTGTACAAATTGTGAATAAAAAC